CATAATATAATTCGTCTGACATAGAAAATGCAATGTATATATATATAGCTACGTAAGCGTATAGTTGTTCATGCTGTCTCATTTTGGTCACAATTGTTAATCTTGAAAGCAATTGTTTTCAATTCGTATTTGTACATGGATTTCACGCCGAGCAAAGTGGATGGTCGCAGCTATTCGTCATGTTTTCGTGGCAAAAAGATGCTCATGGGATTGACTGAGACGGGACGTGGGACAGGACGAGAAACAGTTTCCCATTGTCCCGTCAGTCTCTGACTTACAGTGTAAATAAGATTTATTGAAGATATATTTGATGGTTATATTATGTTTTCTAATTTCAAATTTAGTAGTCTTCATGTGGTATTGCTTTGATCACTTCTGACGACGCAATGAGAACAATAGACAAAATCAGTTGTTCATCCGAAGTTATGAATAGTATTAGACCAGCATACAAATCCTTATTCGAATTCTTTATCAAGAATGATACAGAACTGATAAAATTGCTGTGAACTGTTGAGTATAGATTTATCTGACCTATCTAAGAACGTTAGATCGAACTAGATCAACTAGTCACTGATGCCAATTTTACTTCTTATTCGTAGAATCTTCTCAAAATAATGATATTGATCATGTTCGTAAAACTAACGACAATTATTGAAGATACATCAAAATATTGATCGAGTGAAATATTACGACGGTTTTAATAAATGTCTATGAAATCAATTATAAGAATGATTGATATGAAGAAAGAGAGCACGTCGAGATTGGATCTCAACAATTATAAGTTTCAAGTTGAATCAATATGGAATTTCTGTATTCTATGGTTCAGATTATCGGCTACATAAATATTACCGTGCTGGTCGAATGATAGACCAACAGGACCATTCAATTGATTTGTTTCTGTTCCTTGTCCATTGCTACCTATGATAATACTACCTTGTGTTGCTCCTTTGAGCCAACGCATTACTAGATGTTCGTGAGAATCTACAACATATACCGTACCTAAGTGATCGACAGCTATTCCAGAAGGATATGATAATTGTATACGATCATTTTCTTCACATCCATCACCTGCGATAGCAATACCTTCTTTTGCACCTTGTTTCCATTTCATCAAACGATGGTTACCAATATCTGATACGTACAGTGAATAATCTTGATCGACAAATAAATGAGCAGGAAAATTGAATTGATCGAGACGATTACCTTTTCCATTACCACCAGCTATCACGGTCCCACATATATCTCCTGGATGCCATCGTCTCACTTCATGTTTTTTATAATCTGAAACATACAAGTATCCATTGCTATCGATGGCCAAACCCCAACAATCAACATCTGAAATGATTATTTCTCCTTGTTTGCCATTTCGACGTGGCCATCGTACAACTCGTCGATTTCCTTGATCACAAATGATAATATTATCATTTTCTTTATCGATAATTACATTTGCTGGACCATTCAATTGATTAGTTCGATTTCCTTGTTTATTCCCACCAGCAACAACTTGACCATTCATTGCACCACACTTCCATTCCGTAATACGTTGATTCGAGTATTCAGCTACATAAATAGTTTGATCATTATCTACATACATATCCCATGGATAATATAGTTGATTAACTGCACTACCAGGACCATTACCTCCTGCCACGGTTACACCATTCTGCGACCATTTTGTGTTAAAATCAATATTTGGTAAATGTAGTTGTCCTATAGTTATGTAAAGTTTTAGTCATTGACATCGGTATGATCGACATCTATTGGATCTTTTCTACATAGTAAGGTACAATGAGCTTACTCTTTCAAACTTGATCAAAACAAGTGAACGAACGAAATCAATCCGTTATTTATTAAAAGTTATTTATCAAAAAAAAATTGAAATAAATTTATTTGTTTAAGAACTAAGTGAATATGAAGCGTACAATATATTTTAATGGAATAAAAATAGTTATAAAGAGTTTTTTTTTAATATTATTGTGTATATCGTTGCTTCAAGTTCATATAAAAACTCTTTTAAAAGAATCAACTTTTCATTCATTTATGAAGCAAGCAGAAACTATCGTACTAATTTTTTTTATGAGGAATATTACTGTTCAATAAGGTGTAACTCTTTACTTACCAGATCCAATGCTATTGATCTTGTTCTCTGACGCTACCGAATCTTTTTCAATTATGTTACTTGATAGTTTAATACGTTTCCGAGTTCTACTAGCCATTGTTGTCATATAACACGAATGTTTTAATGATGATATGTAAAGAAAAGTATGTCGTAAAATCTTATCTTTTTATATCAACATGTGACTTGTTGATACAATGAAAGAATGAAAAATAAAAGATTTAAGTCGTTTTTTTGTAGCTTTGCAATTCAAACGAATTAGACGCAATAATATTGATGATATTAAAGATAGACAATTTGTTTTTGGAAAAATAACACTATATGAATATGATTTTCCTATATGACAAACTTTATTTTCTGTACATTGAAATGCACATCCTTCATCATTTTGTCAACAATGTTGATTATGCTATAAGCTATAATAGTAAAATAACTAATGAATTTCACATATCTGTATGAATCATTTTCTTTCGGATACGAAACTCATATTATGGAAATTATTTCAAGAAATAATAATGTGTAGACCACTATTACTTTTTCTAATATTCTGAAAGAAACGATTTTTTCGTGAAAAATCAAATAATATATTTGACAAAG